ATTTAAATAAAGTGTAGCCTTTTAATGTAAAATGTGTGTTACCTTGTGAAATAAGAGTGTCCACGAAGTGACTATAAGAGGTCCAGGATAGTTCTGCCTTTTCCTGCGGAGTAAAACGGTTCATCAACGACTGGTCAAGCGATGCAGTGACTTTGGCAAGGTCGCTCAAGGACGAACTGCACGGAATTATTGAAGGTATCCCAACATCCCAAACCACCATGAGCAAGCTTTTTTTTTTTTAATAAAACAAATGGTTAAATGATCTTATGAATTTGTTCTCGTAACATCAGTATTAATTGGCTAATCAATACGTTAATTGTGTAACTTCCATTTCCTCACACAGTCCTCATTTTTCTGCCACGATTTTCTTGGAAACCAACCGTTGAATAAGTTGAATTTAGATTCATATCGCGAATTGGTTTCGGGAATTTCGGGATGTGAAAAGAAATCTTGAAATTGAAAAAAAAAATGAAGTACAGAGAAAAATGTTCCACGTCAATTCTAAGACAAGCAATTTTAAAGATCTCGAATATAGAAACTTCTGTAAAACTTCAAACATAGTCAAATTTTCATATATCTGGAACCTAGACAAGTGTTCTGGAGCGTATCAATAATTATCATTATTCTGGAATGAGGAAAATTTTCTCGAAAAATCTCGATCTTCAAAAAAGTTGTAAGATTCTGGTATACATTTTAGAGATATTGTACATTTTTTTGTTTAATGCCGGTTTTTAGTAGATCGCGATCTTTAATTAAAACAAATTAAGAAAGCGTAGAATAATTTACGATGCGTTAGAATGTAAGTTCACAGTCCGAGAAAAATTAAATATTTTTAAAATATAGAAAAGATTTCATGATTTTAAACATAGAATTTATCTAAAATCTGGGTTTGGAAATTTGTTGATTCCGGACTTGTATAAAATATAATTTAATGGACTTGGAAAAGAACTGATTTTTCAATTTTTTAATTTTTCTTGAAGATAACGGACTTGAAATAAATGCACTCTGGCCATTCTACTTAGCATGATCGGAGTTTGCAAGGAGTTTAAGACGGAATGAATCTGCTTCTCTATCTTGAAGTAGCTTCGTAACAGGATATGTCTCGCTCAGCCTTTAAACTAGAACTACTTCACTAGGAAAACTGTAGCAATAGAATTCAAGCAATGACACCATATGACACCATATGAAATTCTATAAATTTAGCTATCGTAGTAGGAACAACTAGGAGCAGGAGTAATAGAAAAGAATAATATGAAAGTTGTAAGCAAGAGAATCGAATGATGTATGTGTTAGAGATGGGCGATCCGCTCCCGAGCTGATCTATATACCCGATTCTCTAAAGTGAGCTGATAACCCGCGGTTCATTTTTTAGGAACCGCAGCTCATCAGCTCACTGATATCACAAGTCTTAACCATACATTCCATCACTCATAGCGGAACTTTTAAAAAAGAACACATTACTCCACTTACGCATTGAACAGTTACCGCGTAATACAACATGTGCCTACTGATCGACAGCACCAACGGTAAAAGCAAACTTCCAAGCGGCTGTTTGGGAGAGAGAGAAATATGCTCATGTGCTACACGATCTTAATTTTCTACTGATATTATTCAATGTATTTATGTACCCGGCTCTTATTGCTGATGTTATTCCTCCAGCATATGTGCTCTCACCTCTCCTGCCATCATTCTCTGGGGGAGCGGAAGATCCGCACAAAAGCAAATAACCGAAAAGCGAAATGCAGCTCTCCAGCTTATCAGCTCAGCTCCGGATCCGAATCATCGACTCGAATGATTCACTGGGAGCTGTTTAGGATGACAACTTTCGGACCCGTCCAGCTCTTCGGATCTTTTTTTCTCTCTCCATTCTTCACGATTCAGCTCCGGATCCATATCTGAGCTGATGATCTGGAGCTGATGCCGAGAATAGTGGGAGAAATTCTGCTAGAGAATTAACATCAGAAATAAAATTTGAATTTAGACTGGATTGCATAGCTTGAGAAAAGGCATAACATCGTGTGCCACGATGTGAATCATATCATCGCGTGTGACATAGGTGTAGCTCTCTCGCAAACATTTTTTTGTTTTACTGCTACGTTGTTGGCACATTTTGCGCGCATTTTGGTTTACGCGATGGTTGATCAGTTGTTGCGTTAGTAGCGTTTTCCATTGAAAAGTAAAGCCATGTTGTAAGGTACGGATAACCAATAAGACCAATAAGACTACTTTTACGATTTTAGCACTAAAACCACTAATTAATTTTCCGATTTTGAATTTGTGTCATAATTTCTATAATTTCAATGTGAGCTGAAGAGCTGTTCAAAAGAATCGACTCCATTTAGTGAGCTGGATGGGTTTTATCCACTCAGCCAGATGAGCTGTTTTGCCCACCTCTAGTATGTGTTATAATGTTGATTGATTCCAAGTAACATTACAAGTTTAAAAGTTTAAAGGATTCTTGAAGACCAAATAATGGCCTACAAAACTAATATAACATCAAAAATTTTACTTGGGATGAGTATATATGATCTTTTCCGGTGCAATTTGGGTTTTCCCGATTTTTTCCTGGTAAATCCGAATTCCCTGTTTTTTCCCGGATTTCCCGGTTTTTCCGGTTGGATGGACACCCTGCACGATTCTCCTCGTGACAAGTAATTATAATTTTTAGTTCCACACTGAAACATACTCCTTCTATAATCATACAAAATCTGACAAATCTTCATTTTTTTAACCACGGCAAATTGACATTGATAACAGCAATAACATCGTAGACCTTGCATCTTATCGGAACTAATAATCCAAAAACGAAGAAAAATTGTCGGTTTTGGTGAACTTCTGGAATAAACCTTGCAGTTTACGTTCCAAAGGTAATGAGCAAACAGGTATGTTTGATCTATAGGGGTTAGGAGGGAAGGACATAGTGTACTTCAGCCTTACATTTCTAATTGTTCAAAACAAATTAGTTGGTACACACTTAGATTATTTTACCGAAATCTGTGAAATTTTACCGATATCTCAACAGCTGAACGTTCGGTAAACAGTTCGGTGATTTTTCACAGATTTCCTGTAATTTTATCACCGAATATCTGTGATAAATTACAGGAAATCTGTGAAAAATCACCGAACTGTCTACCGAACGTTCAGCTGTTGAGATTTCGATAAAATTTCACCGATTTCGGTGAAATAATCTTAGTGTGTAGTAGGTTCAAAAAAATATTGATATTGAACCTACTGCCAATTAATTTGTACTTAACCATTAAAAACCAATCCGCATCGTGCTCTCTTGCCGTGCGGATCTATTTGCTTTTTGCTGAAGTGTTACTGCTACCTCAAGCTACAACAAATTTAATCAGCACTTCTCAGCGCTAAATATTACGTGCCAATTTTCTACCTTTGTCTACTCTTATTTCTCTTCGATCCATGTTTGGACCCTCCCCGAGGTAATCCTGCTTGGATATCGTATTGGAAAATTTCACTTCGATTCTCCAGATTCTTATAGTAATCTGCTTTGAAGTCGATTTGGATAAACTTTGTGTTGTCGTCAGAGCACCTAAATGGATAAGAAAGGTGCAATCTCTTGATCCCTCTTCTGATGAAATATATTTGGGCAATCAATTTGATATGCTCACAGATGATGAGAATGACCCATTATCCAGGAAAAATTCCATTAAACATTCCCGCCTTAGTGCCAAGAAGCAAAAGGTCTCCCCTATTGTGATAACCACTTCCGATTTCCATGCTCTTCACACGGAACTTTTGGACTTAATTAAATCTAAGTTTTCACTTCAAATTGGCCGTTGGAGTGAATGCCATGTATTTGCTGAAACCTTGGATGGATTCAAACAGCTTCTCAAGTATCTTACATAAATTTTTCACTTACGACACCAAAACTGAACGTCTGTTTAAGGTTGTCTTGAAATGTGGTAAATCCCTAAATCAGATCAAAGATGCATTTGACTTTGAACATAAATTTCTCCCAAATGTCTAAATATCCACGCAAACTAACTTTGCACTAAGCAAAGCACGTACAATTTTTGGTATAGCTTATCAAACAACATATAGTGAACTCTGCAACTCGATATTGAAGGGACCATCGAGTTATAGAATAACAATTCCATACAAAATCGCTATCACAGTAGTCATGAAATGCATTTTTACCATATCGCTCTATAACTCGATATCGAGTTCGTGGAGATCGAGTTGTGGAGAGTTGACTGTAATACCATGAGTGAAATTTGTGGAAGGTAAGTGCCAACATTGCTACCCAATTTCATTAAAATTCACCAAACCACCGGCATATGTCTACTGTTTCCTACTACCAGTTATTGTTTTTCTTTTCTCTTTACTCTTGCAGCCCCATTCTCCGTATTTCTATTTGTTGTGCCCTTCCCGAAGCGAGCCGTCCCCGATTGATATTCCACCCCAGCCATACAGGCTGTCCGTTGCCATTGAAGCGTGCTTCCAATAATCCCTCCGATCCCACCCCATATTGGCGCGAACCTTACCTGGCAGCTTCACCGGCATTTTTCCCTGCCCTATAGAAGCCATCGCAAATCACACTTACCTGTAACGAGAGAAAAACAAAAGAAAATTGAGAAAAGTTAGATTAACGGTTCACAAGTTGATGCAGATTTGCAATTTAAATTCTCCGAAGCGACCAACGAACCATCACGCTCGAACTACGATGGTTGAACAATTTAAAATATTATAATAACATGGTCCTCATTTCGGCAAACGGACGGAATTGTTTTCTAGGAAGTGTATAACAATGCGGTGAGGGCGCCTCTTCTGTTTCAAATCTGGTTCGACGGAGCGTGACTGCCGACAATGATCGCAGGAGAAAAGTGTGGCGCCGGCAGCGAATAAATTATCGATAATGATGTCTTTTGTGTTGACTGTGGCTTGTATCAGAAATAGGTGGGAGGGGCTGCTGTGTTTGTTCGAAAGTGCAGTCATGTGAAAAATGGAGTCAGATTTCATGAAAAAGAATACTCAATTACCTTTCATCCAACCGCATGCTACTGCGACTGATGTCACTCCAGGCGGACATCGAGCGGGGCCGTTGGAAGAACTTGGACCCCCTTCGGGACCCATTAGCTCCTCCACCACAGCTGCTTCCTCCGTTGCCTCCACCTCCTCCGCCACCGCTCGGTGTCGTCCCATCGTACGTTTCTAGGGGGAAATTGACATTACGTAACGCTTTCCAACTGCCAGACGGCGAAGAATTTGACGCTTCCTCAGACATACCCAGAGCGCTGTAGCTGATGCGGAATTTACTCATTTTACCCTTCCACTTGCCCACCACCCTCACCACCGCTTCCTTCTCTTCGATCGCACCGCAAATTTCCACACTTTCTTCCATGAATGTGCCAACCTGATTCGTAACGGATTACTCACTTGAATTCACTACAATTAATCACTACGGTTACACACCCCCTTTACAGCACGACACGGCTGTTTGAATCAATTAGCACACACTTTCAATCAGAGACGCTCGGCGACGACACGAGCCCAAACCGGCGAAGCAGCACTAATGATTGTCGTTTGATTTCGATGTACGTTAATCCAGCTTGTATGACTGCAAGGCTCCCACTTTGGTGGCAGCAGAACCGGCAGCGGGGATGGACTCTGCCACCCCCACCGGTGGTGAAGCTACAGCGCAACAACATCGTGAATTTCTTTCATAACACCTCAACTAACTGCACCGGCAATGTCGACGTCGACGATGCAGATGACATTTTCCTTGCGATTGCTTGAACCGGCTCCTCCAGGCTACCGCCGTTGGTCTGCTCGAGTCGAGTCGAGTGCGTGCGCGAAAGAAGGGGAATAGAAATATTCAAATTGAACTCAATCAATAACATATTTTTACGGGCGTCAAGTGCTGCTGGTGCTACTTGCCTGTCGCCAGACCTCTAGCAATATGCAGCGCTTGAACGTGCGGTGCAGGTTCGGTCCCTGCGGAGCGGTGAAATTTCATACATATCCAGTCGGTTCGATCCGTTGATGCCGTAAAGTAAGATGTTTAGTTTATTGCGTTCAGAAGTTGGAAGCTGAGGTAGTAAATTCCAATCAAGCAGCTGGGAGGTCACCAAATACGACACAACTTAAAAGAACATAAAGATTTGAGCGGTATTTGAAGACATTTTTGCAACACAGTCAATCTGCTCCAACGAACAATCGAAATCATAAGAAAGCAAAGCTATAAATGGCTGATTGTTCAAAACCCATCAAGGCGCATCCGTCTTGATTCTGAACAGTTGGTGGGTGATCGAAATTTGATTACTGCTAACGGAATCTTATCCTCTTTCTTCGTGACGAATTTCTTCGACCATGCTTGAGCAAGCACGGCTTGGAAAGCTGGAGAGTGTAATCCGATTCGCCCTGAAATTGGAGACAGAATAAGTTCCTCCGGTCGCATCGAAATCGTTTAATGATTCAGCGCGCATTGATCCGAAACAATCACAGCAACTAACTTTTAGCGTGATGGGAAAACTCTTCGTGACTTGCCTTTTAGTGCGCTTTCAATGGGAGGTACATATCTACTGTTTGCAATCGATTAGAGTTGAACTATGTTGCCATGAGTTGCTGAACCCAAGTCGTAGAAAGACGTAGTTCTACGTCAAAGAAGTGTTAGATTTCTTATGGGCCACCCTCAAGTTTGATTCATACCCCCTAAATTTGAGTGTGTGTAAAACATAGTAAAGATTGAAGAAGGTTTAGAGGTCACGCAAATGGTTTGGTGGTTTTGGTAAATTACTATGGGAAATTATTGGATTTCACTTAAATCGCTCTAACTTTGGATCTGGTTGTCCAAACGTAGGTAGTTGCCATGACAATGACTAACAAGTGTGTTGTTGTTGTGATGAAATCGAGGTTTTTGTCTTGTATATATTCAACTCCGGAGAACTTCGAGATTTGGGCGTAATTGCTTTTGTAAACAAACAAGTCAATCGCTATTTTCTTGCGAATAAAAGCTCAATCTCGCGAACAAACTATTCCAAATGACAGAGGAATCATTCTTCTACATGATTAAGTTGTTAGTTTTCGAAGCTGAGTTTTTATTCACGAGAAATCAGTGATTGATGTGTTTGTTTACAAAAGCAATTACGCCCAAATCTCAAATCACTCCGGAACTATCAATTCACCCTATTTCGTCAATTTGTTTTCACGTAAATACAACAGGCTTGTTTATCATTGTCATGGCAACCACTAAATCTATTGTCAAATCTTTTTATTTGCTTTGATTTGTAAACTATCATTTCATGTGGGTAGGTAATTATTGTTTCTTAGCTTCTACGTACCGGACACTTCCATTTTCATTGCCAATTCCCTATAATCGACAACTCAGCTCTCAACCAGCAAGAGTATCAGCCCCAACGATGCTTTCGTTTCTTCATTTTTCAGAAAAAAAAAATCGCTGAAATATTTACTGTTACTTCTTAAATAGGCTAATTAGTCTTGACACAGTTCGATAACTTTCGTTGTGAATTAATGAGATAGCAACTCTTGTCTCCGCCAGTAATTTAGAAAATTGGGTATTTAACGTCAATCCGCACAAAGCTTGCACAACTGTATGAGAACCAAAATCAACCTTTCCCATTAGGTCGTAGAATTGAAAATCCAAACACAAAGTTGACTGAGAAAGAAAAACATCCACTTGCGATATTCCGCGGAAACGGTTACAAATCACGCGGTACATTAAAGGCTGACTAAAAGTAAATTGGCACGCCTCTAGTGGTTTGTTTACACTTCTATAGAGAACAACTGGTGCAAGCTTGATCAAAGTAGTCGGTCGCGTTCAGAAATAACGTCAAATCGAACTCGAAAGAAAAAAAAATATTGTGTGCAAAGACCTGGAAAATCTGGAGTGGTCCGGTCATTTCGTGGTCGCACCGGAGACATCCCGTCGTCCTCGTTGGTGGTATTAACTAGTATTGGGCCTCACATGATATGACCATCAACGACAAGCTCAGAAACAGGGAAACAATCAAAGTTGAAGAGCTGACCAGCACCATTCTAACTGCATCGGAGGCAGGAAATCGGTGATAATTTTAATTATCATAGCAACAGTTGCACATTCGTGCAATTTTTAATAGTGACATTTTGAAAAATGATAACGTCCTTGTTTTAACAGATGCGTAGAAATATTTCTGATCGATTGGTGATAAAATGATTGAAATTGGTCCAGGGGCAGCTGAGTTATTAACGTTCAAAATCTTTCATATTTTCGTTACATGTTCCATTTTCAGATTTCACAAAGTGTACCCCCATATAGAAATCACAGACGTAGTCCTACGTCAAAATCAATATTTTCATTTCACTTGCGGCTATTTTGCTGAATGAGTCGAATGAAAATTAACCACGAACCTATTACGTTCAACAAATCAAACGTCAAATCTAATCATCATTTCGAAAAAGTGTGAACGCATCCGAACATTGCATCTGACAAAATTATCGAGCAGTCCGCTCGAATCAGACAGATGAGCACCAGACATTAAAAACTGGGTCAACGGAGCAGTAAGGAACGCGTGATGGATTGAATGGAACCAAGAAACACGGACTTTCCTGAGGAAAATAAAAGGAGATACAGGCAAATGGGTCGATGTCAAGAGCTGGCGAGATCAGAGAGTTTTCTCCAGGCATTGTACAGACTACACTGGTCTAACGTATAACCTAACAAGCACGGGCAACTTCCACTCTGACTGCGATTCGTGCTCCGTCCAGCTGACGGTAGAACACGCGCTAACTATCGTGTAAACAGACTACTCTATGGCCTGGAAGGTAGCGTGCGGGACCTGTTATGCAACGAACCGGCCAGGGAGGCAGCACTAATCGAGTTCCTGACAGCCAGTGGCGTGTACTACAAAAATTGAAAAATACCTGTGCTCAAAACCTACAAGGGAACCCCGAGTGTGGAAAGAAATCAGCGGACCTACGAAAAAACTGGAATCAGGGATCGTCAGCTGCGCAGCAAGGTGTTGAGGTGCGTTAAAGTCAACCCCGGTCTTTCGATCCGAGATGTGGCCAGAAGGTACAACGCCAACTTTCAAACGGTACAGAACATCCTTGCCAGGGAAGGATACAAGTCGTACAAAGCCGGTAAACATCCGAACCGGCACATGAAGCAGAATTCCGTGGCCAAAAACCGTGCAAGCCTCTTGTACGACCGTGTTTTGACGAAACACAAGGGCTGCACTTTGATCGATGACGGAACATACGTCAAACTCGATTTTAAGCAGCTTACCGGTCAAAAGTTTTACATCGCGACTGGACGTGGGGATGTGCCGGGAAAACTCAAGTTCGTGTTTGCCGACAAGTTCACGAAGATGGCCATGACTTGGCAAGCGATTTGCAGTTGTGGCCTGAAAAAGCGTGTATTGCCGTTCATCCGCAAGCATAGGGGCAAAGTCATCTTTTGGCCCAATTTGGCCAGCTGCTACTACTCCAAAGTGGTTCTGGAGTGGTATGCTGCCAACAAGATCGATGTTGTCCCCAAGCTAATGAATCCTCCGAATTGCCCGGAATTTCGAACAATCGAAAAATACTGGGCAATTTCAGAGCAGCGCCTTCGACGAAGCGGCGGGCCAGTCAAGGACATCCAGCAAATGCTGGCGAAATGGAAGAAATGGGCTCCATCAAGAGGAAGGTTCAACATTTCGTTCGTACTGGAGAAATGTAACCATCTAATGCTGTAACTTCGAAGTTTTAATAAAAGTACTGTAAAGCAACCATTAATGGACTTTTTAAACTTATTGAATCACGAATTACAGGCCTTTTTGTGCGTACCAAATTACTGTTAGTCAGCCTTTACGCTTCAACTGTTTTCCGCGATAACTGCCTGCCACAAACCGACGACGGCGTACAGACCAACAAGCAACGATAGAGAGTAAAGTGGCAGCAGAACAGTAAATTATAAATGAGCGGCCAAAGTTTGGCTTCTGATGTGTAGATTTTTTCCCAAGCTGGGTTTTCTCATTTTTCACTTGCCTTGCCGAGTAGGTCATCATGACCGAAACTCAGTAGGCAGAAATTTGCTCCATGCCTTAGACTTAGACCCATTAAGGTCGCCTATTCGGCAATCCGGACGGAAACGGTTGTGATGAGTGGAGTGGAAGCCATCCACCTCCTGCTTTTTCCACCCCATTTCCATGGGTCATTGAGCGTTGAACGTTGCGGAAAGCGCTATTGATTTTATCTTCCGAATCAGGGGTAGGATTGCGTTAGATTGTTCTTATTTTTTTGTTAAACACTCGTTCTGATATTTACGAGCC